AGAATGAGTACAACCACAGTACTCAGCAAGCCACACCGACAGATGCATGATTAATGCAAGGGGGGTACAAGGGGATAATAATAGGGGTTAGGTTTTGCAGTAAACAGCATTTAAAAGTCACTTAGTTGCCCAAAGCTATTTTATAAAGACGATCCTAGAGCTACACAATATTATTAATCAAGGCCGTGGACCCACACGAACCTGCCTTAACCCAAGGCCTACGATGAGTCAGACCGAACTGGCAACCCGACCTGGGTCCCAGCTCGTCCCAAGCCAACCCAGGCCAACCTTTCCACATTTTAGTTGTTAAGCAAATTTTAAGAATTAAACCACTAACTTGGGTACATTGCTAGGCTTGCCCATATCCGAGGGCTCGGCTATTCGAATAGATTTACTCTGATCAGAGGTGTACATCTTTACCCACAAGACACATCTTTACTCCGCATTCCATGGCCTTGGAACCCGTCGTAAACATGTGACATAACCCTTCACCCATCCTAGCCGTGAACAAAAGTACCGACCCAACCCTGCCTACGGCCGGTATCCCGGGACAGGCAGGCCAGGGTTGAGCCCCTAGCAACAAGATCTAGACCGGGTGCGCCACACACATAGGGGTGAGACCTCCCGCGTACTAGTCCAGTGCCATGGCATCTCGACTAACGGGCACCGACCCGTGTAGTCTTCATTTGCCTAGACATCTCGATTACCGAGCCGCAGCTCGCGTAGCCTTCATTTGCCTCAGAGATATCCATCGTCGCAACGACTTCATCCATCTCTATCCGTGTCCTTTTGTTCAGGACTAGCCTGAGCACCGAGTTAAGCCTTACCCATTAGACATGTGGTTAGTACGGTAGTGCTTTGCAACAGAGGCCCGAAGACCGGTCCTTATAGTGGCCGAGGTGCTACTAGCAAAACCCTGCACCTCGAGCCCAGCCTAAAACCATTTTGGGAGTTTTGAATAGAGGGGGGAGGTGTGTGTTCAATTCCATCACAAGCCAACCATTCCACAGTGTCCAAGTGATATGAGAATTCCCAAAGTCTAGAGTTATAAAATCACCTAATGTTGCCTAATTAATCAGCGAAGCATCTACCTAAATTCTTACTAGTGGAACCATGAATAGAATACTCACTAGTTGGGGTTTTGTTTATCCTAGGGTGAACAAGGAAATAATAACAATAGCAATAATAATAAGGTCATAACAAAGGTAAATAGGCATGGCTAAATAAAACAGTGATAACGCGGGAATTTAAATAAAGCGATAATGCATTAATTTAAATTAAAAATAATTTTGTAAACTGGGATTCAATATGCTCAAGGATGATGTGACTTGCCTTGCTCGCTTTCCCAAACGTCGGCTTCAACTTCCACGAAGAACGGATCTTCCGAAGCTGCAGCGTCTACACGACCAACGGAAAAGAAAAGGCTTTTACTCTAATAAACTCCATACAACAAGCAGAAACAAAGCACAAAAATGGGTTCTTTACTTCTTAAGGAAAAATTAGAGACTTGAACGGTCCAATTCCGAGTTCAAATGGCCAAGATATGGCCATTTGAAGTTTATATGCTCTTTAAATGGATATTTGCGAATTTCTTCATTTAAATTTTAATTAAAAACTCATTTATTGCGTCAGCCGGGAGAGAGGGCGCGCGGACCGGGTCCACGGGAGTGGGGCCCACGCGTCAGCCTCTCGGTCCACGGTGGACCGGGTGCACGCGGCTGGCGCGGGCCGGCGCCGTGGGTCCCACGCGTCAGCCGCACCCGCGGGCGCGGGCGGCTGACGGCCGGGCCCCACCTGGCAGCCGCGGGGCGCGCCCGAAGGCGGCCTCGCTGGCACGGCCGACGGGAGGCGGCGCACCCGCGCCCCGATGGTCACCGCCGGCGACCACCGGCGCGGCGGAGCGGCGGCCGAGAGAGGGGAGGGAAGGGGGAAGCGAAAGGGGCGGTCTTCGGCTCACCCCGGGTCGACGGCGACGACGGGAACGACGGCCGAAGCGGAGGAAGGCGGCGGCGCGGTTCGGGACGACGAGGACGACGGCGCTCCGACGGTCGGCGGGCGAAACGGAGGCGCGGACGAGGTCGACGAGGACGCGGCGAGGCCGATGGAGGTGACGCCGAGACGGGAGGAGGTCCGGGGCGACGACGGCGGCGAACCGAAGCTCGGCGGCGACGGCGGAGAGAGAGGACGACGGCACGAGCACGAATCCGACGAGGAGAGCGAGCGGCGAGCGGCGGAAACGGAGGAGAGAGGCACGGGGAACAATTATATAGCGTCGGGAGGGGAAGAGCGCGGCCGGAGAGCGAGGAAACGGGCGCGGAGATCTCGGCCGTCATTGATGCGCCGGCGAACTTTGCGGGAATGAATCCGGACGAATCCGAGGGAGAGAGAGAGGGAAAAGAGGGGGGAAAGAGGGAGGGAATCACGGGGAGTGATTTCCCCCTCTTTATGGCGCGCGGGGACGGCGGGATGCGGCGGAATCCGCGGCGGCGGCGGCGCTAGGGCACGGGCGGGCGGCGGGCGCGGCGCGAGGACAGGGATGACAGGTGGGCCCCGCCCGTCAGCGAGGGTGGCGGGCGGGCCCGCCTGTCAGCGGCGCGCGCGCGGGGAGAGGCCGAGTGGGCCGCGGTTAGGAGAGAGAGGGAAAGAGCGAGGTGGGCCGAGCCGGCCCAAGAAGGGAAGGGGGGAAAAGAAGACTTTTAGGGCTTTTCTTTTTATAAAATCATTTTAACTTTGTTTATTTCTTCTCAATTATTATTTGTGCTCTGAAAATTCCACTAAAATTTGAGGGCTCCTTTTAGACCAAGGAGAATTTAACAAAAATTCTCCGGGCCACATTTGATTTTTTTCTTGTACGTATTTTAGTGTTTGCCAATTTCTTTTCGAATTTTAATTAATTCTATTATTCCTTTTAGAGAATGATTTTTATTTCGGGATGAATTTATCAGGACGTGACAAAAGATACCCCGAGGAGAAACCCGGGTCGTGTCCTCTGGTCCAGAATAGTCAAAGGCTGGATGGGCTCGAGCCTGGAGCGGCTGGATCCGTCTACCGATGAAGTCAGCAGCGACTTCATACCCCGACAAACCTCGTACTCGGAGATCATCGATAACATCGATAAAGGACTGAAGGGAAGGGGTCAAGGTGGACTTTGCGGTCCAAGACGAAATCTTGTCTGGTTGTTCCTCAGGAACAACGAAGACAGGATCCGAATTTTCTATCTGAAGATAGAACCACCTCGTCCGCCATTTGCTACGAGAGGAAGGGCACTGGATGGGGATATAACGCGACTTCAGGCCATCCCGAAGTCGGAATCCAACGCATCCAGATACCCTGTTGGACTCCATCCAACGCAACTCGTAGTAGAAGCGAAAGAGATCAAGAAAAGGCTCTACCCCAATATAGGCCTCACAAAGATGCAAAAAAATACCGAGGAAGGCAATAGAATTGGGGTTCAAATGGAGTAAAGAAAGGCCGTATAAGTTCAAAACCAAGAGAAGAAATTCAGAAGGCGGAGGGAGAAAACCGCAGAGAATGTAGTCCTCGATCGCAACCATGCGACCTAGGACAGGCTGGGGTTCAGTACCTCCTGCTTCTCTCTCCATGGTCCCACGACCGGGAAGGGCGCCATCCTCCTGTAGCTTCTTCAGCGACGCGCTGGTGGAGGAGGACTTGCCGAGATCCATCGCTGACCGGAGATTACCGGAGAAAGGACTGAGATTGATGAGCTAGGGTTTTGCGGGAGCGGAAAAGACGAGAAGCGCTTGGAGGTTGGAGGGTTTCTTCACAACAGGCGGACTTCAAAATGGATCCCCAAAACTCTCTTAAATAAACACACTTCCGACGGTGCGAATTCCAAGGAAAGGAGAGAGATGACCGCCGGAAATTTCTGGGTCCGTTACGCGCGGCAGTCTTTCGGACTTCAATTTAAATTCACTCATGACCGTTGGGCTTCACATGGTGTTCTCAGCTATGTCCTGTCTCCACGGTTCTCACACCGAGAACGACAACAGCCTCGACACCAGAAGTCGCGATTGGTTACACGAGTTCATTTAAGTAGAAGTCGGGGGCTACTGTCAGGGTTACGGGTTAGGTATACCCTTTACCCTTCGATATACGTCACATATCGATATGGCATCCCCGCGCGTATATGGACATTCTCTGTATAACTAAGGAAATCCTTCACGGAGTTTACAGATGGAAAGAATCCTACTCGGACAAGACTGGGTCGTCAATGTATCGTGTAGGGTCCGATGTCTCCGAGTTCTACTTGGAAACAGCCTGACCTGCGATATAAAAGGGACCCCTGAGAGGACCTAAGGCATCGAATCTCGGAGCCAACACACCCCCACAGCCTACGAAGTCGGAGCCTGCAGGAGCCGAATCGCCGGGAGATTTAGTCGAACCAACTCGATTACAATCCCGTCGGTTTCATCGAGTTCTATCGTTCCCTTTCCATCATATAATCCTATATCAACTGGATTAGGGCTATTATCTATCAAGGGGCCTGAACCAGTATAATCCTCGTTTTCTGTTTGCTTGATGTCGTATTACGTAGATCCTTGTACCAACGTACCCCAATACCCTCTATATCCGGTTTACGGGTATCACCCGTTGACAAGTGGCATCACCGAGAATACAACTAAATAGCAGTGGCATCGTTAGAAATACACAAATAGTAATGGCATATTTTTAAACCAGCATATTTTTAATGGTATAGATCCAATTAACCCAATAAAAATTTTGATCATCATCACACACTTAGTCTTCCAAAGCCATAAAAAAGGCCGAGGAGATTGCAATGCTCTAAAGTTGAACTTAAAGAAATACTTGAAGTTGTAAGCTAGGTGATTCCATGTATGAAGCTCCAAAGAGTCTCCCTTATAATCTGATCCCAAATCTTGGTTCCTCTTAGGACACTCGTAATGCCTGCAGTTTTATCTGACATGTCCCCATCTGATCCCAATCTGTACAGGACGATGGAGAAATCAGGCAAAAAAGGAAAAAGAAAAAGGTAGAAAATTGATGGAAAGAAGAGATCGTTAGCAGCGGGAGAGAATGAAGCAAGGAGCGGAACCAGGAAAAACCGAGGAGAGGCGTGTTGACATGGCAGCGCCCCGGCCCGTCGGCCGCCGCCGATTGATGCACAGCAGTACAGCACCATGGTGGAAAGATGAAAGGAAAAAGTACATCCAAGGTCCCTCAACTTGTCATCGAGTTACAAAATCATCCCCAACCACAAAACCAGATATTCGGTGTTTCTTAACTAATTAAAATCGGTCACAATAGATTCTTCGATGGTTTTGATCCCGGTTTTATCCTACGTATGCCACGTCATCTCTCTCCCTTCCTCCTCTCTCTCTCACTCTTCCCTTCTCTGTGCTATGGCCACGGCCTCCTTCGGTGACGCCGATGCCGGTGACCAGTTGAAGGGGTCGGCCACGAGCGGCGTGATGGGGCTGAGCGCGGGACGACGGGCCTCGGGGAAGACGGGAGGGCGGGTTGGGACGACTACGGCGGTGGGCGGTGGGAGGACGGTGAAGAGGCGCCGGCGGCGGCCTCCGGTCTCCCCCGGCCTCAGCTCATGCTCGAGAGCACGCGGCGATGAATCCTGTCGTCCTTAGTCGGCCTCCTCCCATCCGAACTCTCGGCCTCCGCTTCCGCTGCTCCGGCGCTGGTAGGAGTCGTCGGCGGCCGTGGCTTCCGCCTTCCTCGACGGAAGACGACGATGCGGTAGATTGGGGCTCATCGGCGCCGCTGGGAGAAGGCATGCGTGGGGGCGGGACGATGAGGTTGGGCTAGCCGTCGAGGAGGCAGGGCTACAGCGGGATGACACCGGAGGAAGTGGCTGAGCGGCGGATATGCTACAGGCGAAATCTGCGGCAGCGGCGGGTAGTACGACGACACGCTCCATGGACCTCGTCGGGTTTTTTTCACCGCGGCGATCGGTGGAGACGGCCACACCGTGGTGTGCTTCCCTGACATGAGAAGCCACCTGATGAGCGCATTGTTGCCGCATCGCTCGCCGCTGTCACCTTGTGCTGCGCCGCATCGCTCGCCACCTTTTACAGGCCTGCTCATCATCGGAAGACCAGTCAAACACCAAGAAATCAAATCACGACGCCATTAATCATTACAGATACCAAGTGATCAAACCAGCAAAAACTATGCACACCTTCGATGTTCTGGAGCACTTCCTTGACCTTCTTGCACCCCTCGCAGTGGATCGACACCCGGAGCACGGTGGTAAGCGGCGCGAGCGGGACAGGGCAATGGCCGGGAGCAGGAGGGCCGAGAGGAACAAAACGAGCGGGAGGAGGAGCACAAGTCCGCCACCCGCCCCTCGCCATCCCCACGCGACCGCTGCCGATTCACCATCCGGCTCGTCCGCCCGCTGCCGCCCGTTTCCCCCTGCCTCCTTCTTCCTCGCGACGACGGCGTCGTACGTCGACGCTCGATCTCCCCCGTGCTCCCGCCACTGCCTCCCTTCCCTTCTCCCGTGTCGCCGCCACCGCCGCATCACCGGCCGGCCGTCCGACCTCCTCGTCCCGGCGACCTCCTCCCCACCACTGGCCGATTTGGGGGGAAGGGAGAGAAGGGGAAAGAGAGAGCTGATGATGTGGTGTCCTGACATGTGGAACCCACATGGGTCCCATGCTGACTCACTCGCCATATAGGACAAAACCGGGATTAAAACCACCGAAGGATGCAAAATGAACGGTTTTGTAAGTTAAGGGATGTTATATATCTGGTTTTGCGGTTGAGGAATGGTTTTGTAATTCGATGATAAGTTGAGGGACCTTCGGTGTACTTTTTCGGAAGATGAAATGGTGATCGAGTGCGCGGTTCGCGCTTGACCGGCCTAACCCAAAAGCAGCGAACAGTTCAGACGAACACTAGCCCACTTACATTGTAACTAACATGGTTATATGTATTTTTCAGAAAACCCGCGGTAGCACGTTGTTTTCACCGAGCGGAGGCCGCGGAACTGGATCCTCTCACCCATATGTTTGTTGTGATTTTTTTTCCTCCCCCATTTATATGAATCTTAAAGTATATGAATCTTAAAGTAAAACTAACGGTTTAAAATTATGAAAAAGTTACAACACGTTACGTTGTAGTTTAATGCTAATTAAAATGAAAAATACTACATTTATATCTATCCCAAATTAAAAAATGCGCAAGGCTTCCAGTAAGAAAATCGTCCGTCTCCTGTTATCCGATAAAAATCTACGCGTGTGACTTCCTTGTGTATTCGTGTAATCCGTCTCGGTCGCCCCGCGGTGGAAAAACACACGGCGTGGTGCTGGGCCTCCCGCCTCCGATAAATCGATAAATCCTGAGCCTCCAGCCCAGACCAGGAGGTTTTCAATACAACAAATGAACCAAATCGGATACACCACACCACAAGGCAAGAACCAAAATCAAAGCTAGTGAATCAGAAAAGCACAACAGAGGGAAAGATCACCGTAAAACAACCACAAATTTTCAAGGACATCCTCTCGCTGCCAAGGCATTCGAGAAGAAAAGACTGCATTGACCTATCATTTTCTTCTAGCTATCTCGTGGCTGTGGGGGAAGAAGAGAAACCGATCCAGCAGCGACTCTCCCCCAATCCCAAACCGATCCAAGAAACTCCCTCCAAATCAACCATCCCCATCCTTCCCTTACCCAAGAAAGACACATGTGTTCTTCAGTAATCCTCAATCAAACCACTCCAATCAAAGAAATCCTCGCTTCACCTCACCCGCTCCTCTACCTAGATGGAGATGACAAAAAGAAAATCCACAAGGTGCTCCTCTACCGCCTTGTTGCCGGTGGCAGCAGCCTTTATCTCCATGGCCGACGGTGCGGTGGAGTCTGCGCGATGACCGCATCCCGCCTTGGCGCGGCGGCCCTCGAGGCGAGCGCGACCGTGACCGCGAGCGTGGCCAAGGCGGTGGACTCGGCAGTGAAGGCGTGACAGGGGCGATGGGTGAGGAGGGCAGCGAGATGAGCTCAGCGGAGACAAGCAGCGCGCGAGAAAAAGAGGGATGGCGGAGAAAGCGAGGAAAAGAGAATAAGACCGATACCATGGAGCCTGGGCGGATAGGTCCGACTAGGAAGAGGCGAGAAGTGTGGCTCCGTCCGTTGTCGCCATTACATGGATGGCTGGGACATGTCACGAGACTCACGACGCGTGGAGGACAAATAGCTGGCTGATGGTGAGTATTGATGGTTTAATTAGTATACTTGCGGTTTACTAGTTTGATAAATTTTTACGAGTAAAGTGTACTGATGGCCCTTAAACTTGTAGGGGTGTGTCATCTAGGTCCCTAAACTCTTAAAATGCATATCCAAGTTCTAGAACTTGTCATAGTGTGTCATATAGGTCCCAAATCACCACAACCCCTTCAGCATCCTACGTGGCGTTGATGTGGCATGCCACATGGACATGATGTGGCATCATTTTGACTGACAAATGGAACCCATTTAATTTTTTTCCTTTTCCTTTTTTCTTCTCTTTTTTCCCCTTTCGTCTCCTTTCTATGTGACCCGAGCAGAAAAAAAAAGAAGAATGAGAAGAAAATGAAAAATAAAAATAAAAGAAGAAAAAAAAGAAAATGACACGTCACGTCTATGTGGCATGCCACATCAGCGCCACGTAGGATCATAGAGGGGATGTGTCGATTTGGGACTTAAATGATACACTTTGACAAGTTTTAGGACCTGGATATGCGTTTTGATAGTTTAGGGACCTATATGACACAACCCTACAAGTTTAAGGACCGCCAATGCACTTTACTCAATTTTTACAAGAAAAGGTTGTGAATAAATGTATAGCAAAATCGATGTTCTTATGCACTTGAGTCCTGAAGCTAGCGATATATGCTATCATCTTATTTCACATGTCCTCGGAATAATTACAACGTGAGATGTGCAAATTTAAAACGTGGATAGGGTATTTATATTGTAAATATAAGAGCATCTATAATATGGAAATAAGGGGTCTTAAGCCTCCCAAACAGTGCTTATATATATATATATATGTGGAAGAGGTTCTTCTTACATAGGTCTTTTAGATGAGCTACCTTGTAGCAAACGATTGGCCATATGGAATAAAAAACCAATTTTCCATATCTCTCATTGTGAACTCTCTTGTCTCTCACCAATATAGTTGCATGCTAGTAGCATGATGCTACCATAGGGAAGGGGACGAGAGCACCTGCAAGGAGCTGATGCCGCTAGAGTACCGTACGCAAGTTGCTACCACCGTCATGGCCTTTTCCCACTGGTACACGCGCACCTCCTCTTGCTCTGGTGGCTCCTCCCACGGGCGCAAGTGCCGCCGTTGCCGCTGCTAAGCTACTGGATCTAAGTGGTTCCTCTTCCGTGCTTTGGGGAGAAAGGGATTGGAAAAGTGGTTGGGATGGTAAAACGTGGCATTGGTGGAGAAGTGCTTTTTAGTCCTGGTTCATAACCACTACGAATCCGGGACTAAAGGTCGCTATCTTTAGGTGGTGTTTACTTCCAGGGACTTAACTTTAGTCCCTGTCTTTAGACACTAATTTAGAGTATTAAATATAGACTACTTACAAAACTAATTACATAAATAAAAGCTAATTCACGAGACAAATTTTTTAAGCCTAATTAATCTATAATTAGAGAATGTTTACTGTAGCATCACATAGGCTAATCATGGATTAATTAGGCTCATTAGATTCGTCTCGCAAATTAGTCCAAGATTATGGATGGGTTTTATTAATAGTCTACGTTTAATATTTATAATTAATTTTCAAACATCCGATGTGATAGGGACTTAAAAGTTTTAGTCCCATCTAAACAGGGCCTTAGTCTCGGATGAAATAAGCAGGAGTAAAGATCGATCTTTAGTCTGGTTGGGTTGGACTAAAGATCAATCTACCTTTTTTTTTATTTGCATGGCCCTATTACTGCATGGTTATATATATATATATATATATATATATATATATATATAAAGACTATTCTACACCCCTGGAGCGCTCGCTCCTCCTCTCCCCTTTTGGTTGGGTTGGACTAAAGATCAATCTACCTTTTTTTTTATTTGCATGGCCCTATTACTGCATGGTTATATATATATATATAAAGACTATTCTACACCCCTGGAGCGCTCGCTCCTCCTCTCCCCTTTTTTTTCTCTCGATCCCACCTCCACCCCTCCCCAAAAATTTGCCTTCAATGGGAATAGAACTCAAGACCTTCAACTCAAATTACCACATGGCACTAACCAATATGCTATTTCTCTGTTGTGATAGAGTTTTCTTAGTAAAAACTTGTCTTCTCATACATCATGAAATATAGTAGCGCGTCCGATTACTACAAATATATAGGTTCTTATTACAGCCAAGTGACTAGTATTGCTGGGTAAAGCCTCACATACTAACAAAAGTAGAAGTGTTACTACACGATATGTACGATATGTGCATGTTACCACTTTCAAGTAGTTATGTTACTGCACGACAATTGTAGTTTTACTATGTCATTTTGACGAGATGAAGATCGAATAGGTGGGCTATATGTAAAGTCTGTAGGTGGCTTTGAGCGATGTCTGATTGATGTAGGAGCGTTTTGAATAATTTTATACATTTGGTAAAAACCATGTTACTACATGTATATGCCCCTGTTACTGCAAGGTACACATTCTGTTTCTGTATGTGGAGGGTTAAAGTTCAAAGTGCCAATCTTTGAAAAACAATATCTCATAATATATATATTATTTTTTAAAATCGTTCACACCATGATGCTATAGTGTTACTGCATGTAGAGGCTTAAACTTCAAAATGCATCTACGTACTCCTCTCTTCAAGAAACCGTTCTTCCTCCCTCTTCTCAAGAAAACTGGTTTCCTCCCACCAATATAGTATTACTGGCTTACTGCATGTGTAAGATGTAATAGTAATATTGTGGTGAATTACATTAAATCAGGAATTGAAACAAGTCCGACCACGCTGAGATTCGCGCATGCATTATTATGTGAGGGGAGCGGCTTGATTTGTTAGCTGGAGTGTCGATATGGTTAGCACCAAAACAGGACATATTCTCTACGTACGGACATAATAAAAATCCATAATGCCCTTTCCTGCTATCACTGGCTTTGACAGAGCTACAGCATGCTAGGGCACTCACCAAGACAGACGGTGTCAGACATGGCGCAGTGAAAGTGGCTTCCACTGCTCGACTGCTTCACGCCCACTAGTACACGTACACGGAAAGCGTTCGGTCACATGGAATCTGAGCAGCGACAATGTCAACACTGTAATGTATGTATGAGGCCCTGTTTAGATGAGACTATAAAACTTTTAAAACTTTTAAGTCCCTATCACATCGGATATTTGAATATTAATTATAAATATTAAACGTAGACTATTAATAAAACCCATCCATAATCTTGGACTAATTCGCGAGACGAATCTATTGAGACTAACTAATCCATGATTAGCCTATGTGATGCTACAGTAAACATTCTCTAATTATGGATTAATTTGGCTTAAAAAATTTGTCTCGTGAATTAGCTTTCATTTATGTAATTAGTTTTGTAAGTAGTCTATATTTAATACTCTAAATTAGTGTCTAAAGACAGGGACTAAAGTTAAGTCCCTGGATCCAAACACCACCTGAGTATGATGCAGCAATGCATTATCGGTCAGATTTTACATTAATTGAAAGAAAAAAATATCATAACTGCTAAATCATAGTGGGTTCAAAATATACATATATAGATTGATTGGTATAGTTACATACAAAATATAATTATATCTATAAAAATAAAAGTTAAGAGTTGTATATGAAATATAAGTATATAGAATCTAAGGTTGTGTTTCGTTGATGCTGCTAGTGGACGACAGAGCTATTATGCGGCAAGGAAATCGGAGCGAGTAATAAACACATGATTAATTGAGTATTAATTTATAATTTTGAAATTGATTCATTTGACGTTATAAATAAACTTTTATATGAAAAAAACACAATTTAGCGGTTTGTGAAACGCGCTAAAAAAAGAAAAAGTTGTGATTCGGAGTTATTGTTTAAAACATGGTCTAAGAGTAGTATATAAAATACAAGCCCGTAGAGTTCTATACAAAATCAAAATACAACATGTAATGATAACAGATAAAATTTTAGAGATGTTCTAATATAAATATAACATATATGATAAGAAATAAAATTTTATAATTGTTCTAATAACACATACTCCATCTGTTCCAAATTATAAGACCTATAATATTTTTACACGGTCTTCAATTATATACTTTGACCATTAATTTATTTAATATTATGTTATCAACAACTATAAAATTAGCATCATATAAAATATTTCATGAATATAGTGATATAACATGCATAATGTTCACCATAGATATTATTAGTATAACCACTATAATATGAAATGATACAATCAACAAGTTTTTGTTGTAAGGTATGGTGCCAAGCGTGCAGGAAAATATGGCCCCACCTTTTGGGTTGCCAGGCACAATGTTTTTTTAGGGCATCAGCAATCAAAGACACTCTATGGGTGTCCTCACTAACTATAGCCACTCAATAGGACACTCATCTTGCAATGGGGGAAACTGGGAGCTAGGATCTTCAAAATCTAAAGGTACTCAATGGAGCTACTACAGCCCACAATGGGGTGCTCCAACACAGGTATCCCTATGTATGTATTTCCTCCTATACCCCTGTGTTTTCCACAGCCCACCGACCGCCATCGGCCTATCCGTCCCATTTGGCCTTCTTCCTCCCCTCCACTCCTCTATCGCATTTCCTTCCCCAAACTCCTCTTCGCCTCCTCCTTTCTCCACCCGCCATTTCTTGTCGATGGAGCTCTGCAGCGGGTTCTTGAAGCCGAAGAGGGAGGTCGACGAAGCTCCCCGCCCAGGGAGGGTGGCGATGGCGAACAAGATGGGTGGCGGCGCGGCGAGCTCGATGGCTGTCGCCAGGCGAGTCGGTTTGCTCGGAGTCCGCGCGAGTAAGAGCCATCGGTCCCCTTCTCCTCCCAGGTCGCCGTCGGCCACATCAGCTGCATCCGTCGCCGGCCATTGGAGCGGATCTGGCTTCGAGACATCCGGCGGCGGCTCATCCGGCGACGGCACATCCGGCGGCGGCTCATACTGCAATGGGGGTTGTGATTATTGCAATGCATTGAGCAGTTTAGGGGTTGTTGTTTGATGTTTAGTTTAGTTTGTTGTTGAGGCTATGGATGCTAAAGTGTTATGTGATGCATGGGTTTTGGCTGACCAGGGACAGAAGCAAGTAGTTCAATGAATTTCCTAGGACTTTTGTTGTACATATGCCACTGTGAGTGTAGGATGGCAACTTATTTTATGCATGCAAGTTGTGGAACCTTATATATTAACTAGATGTAATGAATGCACTGAAGTTGGCCGAATGCACTGAAGTTGGTTGATGTTTGTTCAAATGGATGTTTTGGGTTGTTGCTCTAATGGACGATGTGCTAAATTAGGGATGATGAAGTGCAAACTTGCAAGGGAAGTGAAGTGTACATGTGGTCAAGAAATTATTTATTTACATTGACCTTATTTTTGCAAGTCACAATGGTCATGTAGACCTTATTCTTCAAATTACACAATGGTCATGCTGACCTTATTGTTGCAAGTCACATCTACTGACCTAGTGGACCTTTATTGCTACTGAGAATCGCTAACCTAATTGCTGACCTTATTGCTAACCTACTAATACGGGTCTAATAGACCTTATTTCCCTAGTACTCATTTTATTCATTGCTTCAATTAGCCTAATTGGCACTGGTACTAGCCCTATGGTTGGCCCATATGTGCTCCATCAAGTCCTTTTTCAGGCTGTTGTGCACAGCACGATCGTGCACCTCACAATCTGTAGTGACCACTTGAGCAAATGCGCGTGGCACGCTGTTGGTGTATTCAGGAGCTTGCATTTCAAATTCCCCAGGGTCATCATTCAAATCATGCACATCCATTCCCCTCTCATCTTCAATAATCATGTTATGCATGATTATACATGCCCTCATGATCATACCAATTTCATCTAACTTCCAAAGCTGACATGGGACTGCAATGATTTTGAACCTAGCCTTCAATATTCCAAACGCACATTCCACGTCTTTTCTTTGCGATTCTTGTGCATTTGCAAATAGCCGTTGTTTTGGACTCTGTGGTAGCTTGATGGACTTCACTAATGTGGCCCACTCGGGATAGATACCATCGGCAAGATAATAGCCTTTATCATACCAGTGACCATTCACCATGAAATTAACCCTAGGAGCCCTACCCCACAGCAAGTCTGTGAAAACCGGTGATTGGTTGATAACATTGATATCGTTGTTCGACCCGGCTACACCGAAATATGCGTGCCAAATCCACCGGTCGTGAGATGCGACCGCCTCCAAAATGATTGTAGCAGTTCCGTAATCTCCCCGAGTGTACATCCCTTTCCATCCGTTTCTCCCCGAGTGTACATCCCTTTCCATCCGTTAGGACAATTTTTCCACTTCCAGTGCATACAGTCGATACTACCGAGCATACCCGGGAAACCCCTCGAACCATGGATCTGCAGCAGTCTCCCAGTGTCATCTACATTTGGTTGGTGCAAGTACTCCGGTCCAAATATTTCAATGACTCCTTGACAAAATAACTTTAGAGACTCAAGAGCGGTCGAACCACCAATACGACAATACTCATCAACCTGGTCAGCCGATGCAGCGTACGCTAACATGCGATTCACCGCGGTACACTTCTGAATAGGTGAAAGTCCTAGCTGACCAATTCCATCCACCCGTTGCGTGAAATACTCAGACCATTCACCAAGAGCATTGAGAATCCGAAGGAACAGAGGGCGACGCATCCGGAACCGCCTCCGGAAGTCACGGTCACTATAGACCGGGTTCTCACAGAAATAGTCCGCCATAATACGAGCATGACCACCAATTCTGTCTCTTCGGCAATATCTTCTACGCCTGCGGGGTTGCTGAGAACTGGATGGACCAAGAGTGTGCAGAAGATGGCTGGCCAGTTGTGCGGCAGCGGCATTCCATGCCTGTTGCCGTTGCAGATAATCTTCCATAGTATAAATTTCAGTCGGGTCAACCTCATTGTCACTTGAGCTAATTTCTTCGGAACTCTCAGACATTGCTAAACAAATGCAATATAAGTGGACATAAGGATTTGCAAGATTTGAAAGTAAGATAAGTGGATATAAGTTGACCGGGTTCTCACACAAATAAATAAGTAATGAAAATAAGGGCTGGCAAAATTGCTTCATGAATAAGAAAGCTACACAAATCATTCAATTCATGTGCATAAGACATATGAACAGCAATGGTAAAGAGACAAGGTGACAAGAGTAGTACCTTGTCAAATCAAGTTGACAAAAGTGCCGAATGGGAGACCAGACAAATGACTGCACAGATCAATCCCAGCACAAGTATACCTTTCCAATGCACATGTCAATCACAGAACAAGTTACCAAATCACTTCACAGATCAATCGCAGCACAAGTATACCAATCCAAAACACAGATCAATCCCAGAAATTGGATATGGCTACCAATCCAAAACACAGTTCAATCCCAGCACATCATATGGCAACCAAGCACTAACAGTAGGTGCAGGACCAAATATATAATGCCAAGAACCAAGCTTGGTCTGAATGCTCAATTACAGCAATAGTACTAACAGTAGGTGCAGGACAACATGATTTAAAACAGCAAGTGCCATCAGGCCATCAAGTGACTAGATATCTATTACATCAGTAGCAGAAAATAAATAGCAGCAAGTAATGGAAGATCGACCTATTACATGTATGAGATCTCCCAGATCACAGTTTCATCTAACTCTCACATGTTTTTTTGTAACTCCCCCCATCTACAAGTAATAACTCCTTCACATGATTGTACTTGAAGCATCCAAAAATGTGCCATAGCACTCCAAAAAAGTTTTGAGGCTGGTACTACCCTGCAGCAAACAATAAATTGAGCTTCAATGAGAAAACAATTGCAAAGACTTCATGTGAGGGCAATGCATTAACTTACGAATCACTCAAGAGTTGCCCCCTTGCCCCAGAGCTGGTCAGACATGAGTGTGCATGCCTTGATATGTGCCTCCCTGGCCCATGGCTCCATGGAGCTAGTGTCAACAGAAATCATCTGGGTGAACTTGTCGAGCATCTTGGTCTGTTGGTCAATCAGCTTGGCCTTGGTCTTCTCCTTAGCAGCCTGCAGATTCAGGGTGGCTGCCTCAACCTTCTCCCCAGAGAGCTTCTGCTGGAAATCCTTCATGGAAGCTGTTTCTTCTTGTTGGCTAGCGTGGGCTTTGCACAGATGCTTGATGAGCTCTGCCAACTCAGCTGAGTAGTCTGATTGCCTGCCCTTCTTTGCCCTCTTGATACCCGCAGGCCTCACCTGAGCCGGCTGCTCCTCAACCGGTGGTGCATTCACATCGAACTCAGCCCTGATCTTCCTTGGACCATGACCCAGCAGACAAATGTGAGCATTCCACTTGGGGGAATCACGCACGGCCTTCCACCAGTAGCCTAGTGTAAAGGGGTGACCCTCCCTACTCTGGTACAGCTCCATAGCTTGGTCCATTAGCATTTCTTCAGACCGGCCACTTTGGTAGTTATCCCTCAGCTGCACATAGATCCCATTGAATGCTGAAACCTTCCTTGTGTGTTTGTGCCAATGGCCCTTGAGGTGCTTGGGGTCCCTTTTCCTGTCATCTTCTGTGGTTGCATTGTAGGTATCTGCAACCTGCCTCCAGTATGTGTCACCCTTCCTTGCATTCCCCTCGATTGGATCTGTTGAGTTCTCAAGCCAAGCACTGACCTACATACCATCAAATGCTCAACAAATACCCAACAAATGCATAATACTCATTGGTAATAACATCAGCAAACATTATGACCAATACATGTTCTAGTTTCTGCCAAAAATTGGAAATTTCACCAATAATCAGTAACCTTACTATACACACATATTCTTGGCTGCAAGAACATAACTAAAATAAATCCAAAGGCACATCAAGGAGCAAATTATTTCTAGCTACCACAACCTTTTCATTTATGCCAACATATTTTAACTATGACTCATCATAAATTCAACAAAACATATAGACATACATTGTGCATGCATCACAAAGGTTACTGCTTCTTCTCTGTGAACAGGTCAATGTTATGTAGGCAAACACATGTACATAAATCACACTACCATATATACCACCCATAAAGAAGCAAAATTTCCTACACATGGATACTACTGCTTCTCATCAGTTTGCAAAACTAGATTTTTTTCTATGCATCCCAAACTATATCAATCAGTCTCATACAAAAACCAACAAGCACACAAATTTCTACATACAACAAGCACACAAATTTCTACATGTTTCAGCTCTGTTCATGCTCCATCCAAATCAAGTTTTTTTTGCAACTACTTCAGATCTGGGCATCAAATATTTGGATTGTGATAAAAGATGCTTACCAGGCGTAGGTCCTCATCACGAGTGTAGTACATCCTCGCCTTCCCATCGTCTTGGCTGCCTGGATTTGCCTGCACACGTTGCCTCACCCCACATCTGGAGGCCGCTGTCGGGCCACCATTGCCGGCTGCTGCTGGTGGTGGCTGGGTAGAGAAGAGGGGGAACTGAGCATGAGCGTAGGGGAAGTCGTTGTGCGGATGAGAGAAATCGCCTTGGGTGGAGGCTTGACCAAACGGGTGCGCCAGATCGGGATCATTCAAGAAATCGTAGTACCCACTTGAGCGGTTCGGATCCATGACAAGAAGCTGCAACACACAGATCCATCAAAGAAATCACCACAAAGCTAGTCTTGGACGGTGTCAGCCATCCTTTTTGGCAGGCTGCGCAAGGGCATCGGCGGAAAAATCAGCAATGTCCAAAGGCAAACATCCGTTCACCTGTATACGGCCTAGAGGGTAGGTACATTTTTCCCGCTGGGGTTAGTGCCTCACACTGGTAGACAAACCCTTTGTAGTCCCGGTTCGTAACCCCCCTTTAGTCCCGGTTTCCAAACCGGGACTACCAATTCGGGACTAAAGATCGCTATTTTTAGTCCTGGGTGAAATAACCGGGACTAAAGATGGCTCAGCCATCCCAGTTGGTGTTACCAACCGGGACTAAAGATCGAGCTGACCTTTTTTTTTTTGCATGGCCCTGTTGCTGCATGGTTTATATATATATAAAAACCATGCATATATATGTTTCAGTACATATATGCATATATAATATATGCATATATATATTATATTATATTTATATAAGTTTCAATACATATGTACATGCATAATATATATGTATACATATATATGTTATGCAAATGCATATATATATATATATATATATATATATATGACCAAAATATATTTACATTATAGAATATGTGTACACATGCATATAGAAACATATGTAGTCATGTATTAATTACAATCCATTATATGTCCTAGCTAGCTACGATTTCGACGTAGTAGTAGTCGCTAGCTCAGAAGCTAAGGACCTATGAATTGTGTTTCCGTCGTAGTAGAATTCACCCTTGGGATCAAGGATTTGTTCGTTGATGAATCCCATGAGTTGTTCTTGAACCGCCGCGATAAATTCCTTGTGTGTGGTCAGGTTATCCCTCATGCGAATAAACTATATGAATGTATGAAATTGATTAGTAATTAAACAAGAAATCGATACGTAATGAAATTTTGAATTTATTTGTACGTACATCGAGCTCTCTTGTGGTGATGATTTGGTCTGCAAGGCAGTGGCAATACTCGCACACGTAATAGCCGCACAAGTTAGTTCCCTTCTTTTGCTTTGCGCACTACAAATAAATGACAAACAACGAGAGATCTAATTAATATACACCTGTATGTATTTGAATCGGAGAAATATAAATGTAGAGCATGTGTACTCACAGGAAATTTGAACTTCCGCCTAAGTCTTTCTCTCCATTTGCCGCGGACCAAATGACGGAACCGATACCAAACCCTACATGGAGTTTAAAGCTATGATTCATAGTAGCAATTAACTATAACAAGATTCTTAATTAACATAGGAACTTATGACAGTACCTGTCTATAAGTTCGAAAACCTTGTCAAACGTAGACTCTTTTTTATCCATTGAGTCATATACGTTGACGGTGCAAGCCGACAGGTCAAAGAGTAAAAACACCCAGTGGAATCTACAATGTGCGTGGGATGCATTACATATGAAACACTTAGCAAGTTCGTACGGGAATGAAATTTGGTATAGGAAGACAGTAAAATTAAACTAACTCTGTGTTGTACGGCCACAGTATGAACGTCTTGTAATGCTGCGCCTTCAGGAGATGGACGAGATTGTCCTCTGTGGCTTGCGGATATTGGTCGAGCATTACGACGTTTACTTTCCGAGGGTCGATGAATCCAGTATCGAAAACCCCCCGCCGTCGGGCCCTTTGAATCTCCATTCTACAACGATAAAAGGGAGTATATTATTTTCTATAGTCTACTTATATACAAGGACCTAATTAATTAAAGGAGACGTAGTAAGAAATCTAACTGAACGATATACTTACAAAATCCAGCAACTCATAATAGAGACGTCGAGGGCGTCTAGCTGGTATAGTTCGTAGATTCCCTTGAAATTGATCCAGAGAATGTCATCTCCTTGCAAGAAGTCCGTGTCCCTGATCCTCGCTCCGATCATCTCTCTACCGGTGGCGCTCATCTCCATGTACAGCTGATGGAACTTGTACATTTGTGTGGGTAGGGACTGCAGCAGCTCAGGCTTGACAAGCGGTTTACCGAGTTCGTACATGTATTTCACTTCCGCCTTTTCGATTGGTGCGACTCCTAGCAATTGATC